TGATTACTATCCTTGTAAAGTTTGGTTTACGTAATTGTTAATACCCAATATAACTTATAACTCAAATCTAATTTAATTACTAGTATTTGTTTAAAACTAACGTTAAAATCTATTCAAAAAATCGTTTTTTTTTACTCTGCAACGTTTTCTGTTTCAAAAGATACCCACTACAGATATCGAGATTAAGCTGGTTCCTATGAGCATAGCTTGTCTGGTTTACGTCTATCTGGCGCAGGCAAACCTATCTGTCATTTTGGCAGGCGGCGTAGGAAAGAACGGATCCACTGTCGCGGTGAGATGAATAATAGCTATAGAAATGGATGGTGTACACCATTTTTAGTCACATAGCGGTCAAGTGTTTTGTTCTGCTGGGAAATTGCAGGTCGGGTTAGGTTACCGGTTAGCTTTTTTTTCTTTTTTTTTCTGATTTCTACAGGTTAATGTCTCACAATGCTTACCCGAGAGCTGCAGAGTCTGTAGCGAAGGTCTTTACATAGTTATTGTTATCCAAATCAAACCTAATGGGCGAATTCGTGACAAGGCTGATTTGATTTCCCCTTACGTGTCAAGTGCTGTACGGTGGGATTTGGTTTGCCACACCGTTCTGCGGTCAACGCATCGCATAAAACGCTAAATTCATTTTCTCTAATTCGGCTAGCGAAGGCATATCGAAGACGTTGTGGATCAGAAAGCGACAGTATTGCCATATTAAAATGTATAATATCTGGTAATACGTTTAACAACAATATTTTTGGATGAAAAATCCGCGTTTATGTATTGAAAATTTATTCGTGTTAAGCATAGAATAAGCAACAGAAATAAAAAATTCTTTTATAGGTACCTACTGAATATGTCGAATGATCGAAAAAAGTCGTTTAGTTGGCTTGGAAATGACGTTTATTGACATTTTTCATAATATTTTACATATGAAATAACAGCGATCTTCATTTCCAAGCCAACTCTGACGCTGTTCTTTGTTTAATCAATATTATATTAAATTGTTTAATGATAGGAAATCCGTATTATTAACGTACTGTACCCAAAATCCGTAAATCTACGGATTAATCAGTAGTTCTGGCAATACTGTCTCTAGCAACCACTCACTTTGTCAACTGAAAGCAGAACTACGGTACAGTATTCTTTATACCGCTGCGCTGTAAACGAATATCAGCGCGCAGCGGCGGCGGCGCAATGCTAAGCTACATCGTGGACATGTTTTGTGCCACGAAATCGCCCATAAGGTTGCGCATCTTATTTCTTTAATCAAGGGTTATAGTCTGTTTAATTATTCAAATTATTTATTTTTAGGTTTGAAAATTTAACGTTTTTGGGATAAACACATTTCATATTAATAATTTTAATTAGTTAAAACCATTTTGACTTTGCAATTTCGCAGCAGTGCTATAGACATTAAGAGTGAATTATTATTATTATTACTAGTGTTTCATTTAAATCATCCAGATGTTTTATGGCATTTTAGACAGAGCGTCAAACAAATATTCGAATATTTTCAAATAATTCCATACTGCTAATATGAATATTAAGAAGAGCAGAATGAAATAATTTGGTTCAAAATTTAAATATCATAGAACACCTGATCATTTCACGTTTCACTTCATGTACACATACAAAATTGCTCCAACTGTCAACCTGTTTGTAGTATGTACAATTATGTTAACTTTTGCTTCTAGTTTTGTTCAACTAATCCTTTGTCTATTGTCGCTTTACCATTTGCTTTGCATGATCTAAAATATGTGTGTTACTAATACTACGAATGTTTGTAAATATTATAGTAATAAGTAGGTATATTCTTTCCAGCGAAGTAATACATATGAGTGTATTGTCTGTTATTCAACTTCAAATTTGTTTCTACAATTTTTTAGAAGATCCTCTGTCGAAAGACGTATTGTATTATGGCTCTGGACAGACTATACATACATATTAGGTGGTGTATGTTATTATTACTTATTAACGGCTTAACTTATGGCTTTCGTCCAATGCAGTTAAAATCTGATGTTACATATTAAATGTTTATACATATTTATTCACTAAAGTAGTGTTGAGACTTTAAATTTGCTTAGGTTAGGTAATACGATGTTTTTACAATACTAAGATACATAAGTCCCATAACGGCCATAACTATCTGATTAGATGTTTCTCTCATTTAAAATTTTCATGTCATTAGGCTTGGAATTATACAAGGCGAGTTTTAAATAAGTGCAAATATTTTTAGGGGTAGTATATTTCGATTTCAGGGAACCTCTCTATGAGTTTTTTCGCAAAAAAAAATGATGTTGAAAATCGTCCATTTACTTGTAAAGTTTCCTGTATATTTTAGAAAACTTTTTAGAACTGCCTGTTCATCGCAAAATTTCCCTCGTATTTAATGTTTTAATATTACCATGGTTACGGCACTAAAAGGGATACAGAAAAAATCGGCGACTCCCAAATTTTTTTAAAAATAAATCAATTTTTTTTAAATTTTCAAACTTGAATATACAGGGTGGCGCACCTCATTCGCCTCGGTTGATTATACGAAAACAGAAAGTAGAAACAAAGTATTTTATGGGTATATGTGGGACGGCAATATGTCCATAATTTAAAATTATTTTGAAATGTACAGGGTGTATCAGAACTAAGATCCATACCAAAGTTATATTTTTTCTTATGGAACACCCGGTATTTTATTTCATTTTTGAATTTTTGGATATAAAATAAGGCATTTATTATAAGGCTTTAATATGTTTAAAAGCTTTGGTTTTTGAGATATTTAAAGATATTTAAATATGCATGCTATAATAAAAAAGTTTGTCAACACCCTGTTCAATACTTTTCAGGATTAATTCTTGTGCTGACTTTCAAGCCAGAGAAATAAAGTTTACTAAGAAATTTGATTGCTTCCTTAAATGTATACAGGGATATCCAAAATTGCTGGTCTATTTCAAATATTTAATTTACATAAAAACTTCGTTATTTTAAATGCAACACTATGTATTTTTTTAAATAAGTCGAAGCAGATTTAAATGCTCTTTCAAACTATATTAGGGTTTCCTATACCTATCTGGCTCAGATTTTGAATAAAAAGCGATTTTTCAATAAAATGGTAATCAAGATGGGTGGTATCGCCATGGTAATTTGCTAGCGACTGTTAGTAGCTATTTTCAAAATCGACATTAGTTTATTGACTTTATTTAAATTTATAACAGTTTACTTTTATTTAATTTACCTACCATAGTTTAATAAGTAAGTATTTATTATTTTATCAAGAAAAATAATGAAGTAGTTCTTCTTTGATTTATATTACAATGACTTGTTTTGAATTCATGGTAAATAAAAATAATTACGTATTGGATTTTCTATAAAAGAACCAATTAAGGCAACTTCATTTTCTTCACTTTCAACGACAGGTTTCTGCCTAATAGGTTTTTCATATACCACACTATCAGCTCTGCGAAATAGGAAAAGTAGTTTTTCAAAGGAGCGCTTGTCAAATTAGAATCCTTCAGGTCAACAAGCAATTTTCCTCACAAAATAAAATCACTAGTAACATATCAATTCCGTCCACCAGCAGATACTGCTTCATTTTTCTTAATAAAATAATAAATACTTACTTATTAACCTTTTTGTAAGTAAATTAAATAAAAATAACCTGTTATAAATTTAAATGAAGTCCATATAATAAAGTCGATTTTGAAAATAGCTACTAAGTGTCACCAGAAAATTGCCATGGCGACACCAGCCATCTTGATTACCATTTTATTGAAAAATCGCTTTTTATTCAAAATCTGAGCCAGATAGGTATAGGAAACCCTAATATAGTTTGAAAGAGCATTTAAATCTGCTTCGACTTATTTAAAAAAATACATAGTGTTGCATTTAAAATAACGAAGTTTTTATGTAAAATAAATATTTAAAATAGACCAACAATTTTTGATACCCCTGTATACATTTAAGGAAGCAATCAAATTTTTTAATAAAGTTTATTTCTCTGGCTTGAAAGTCAGCACAAGAATTAATTCTGAAAAGTATTGTACAAGGTGTTGACAAACTTTTTTATTACAGCATGCATATTTACATATCTTTAAATATCTCAAAAACGAAAGCTTTTGGACATATTAAACACTTATAATAAATGCCTTATTTTATGCCCAAGAATCCAAAAATGAAATAAAATGTTCCATAAGAAAAAATATAACTTTGGTATGGATCTTAGTTCTGATACACCCTGTACATTTCAAAATAATTTTAAATTATGCACATTGCCGTCCCACATATACCCATAAAATACTTTGTTTCTACTTTCTGTTTTCGTATAATCAACCGAGGCGAATGAGGTGAGCCACCCTGTATATTCAAGTTTGAAAATTTAAAGAAAATTGATTTATTTTTAAAAAATTTTGGGAGTCGCCGAATTTTTCTGTATCCCTTTTAGTGCCGTAACCATGGTAATATATGTATTAAAACATTAAAATCGAGGGAAATTTTGCGATGAACAGGCAGTTCCAAAAAGTTTTCTAAAATATACAGGAAACTTTAAAAGTAAATGGACGATTTTCAACACCATTTTTTTGCGAAAAAAACTCATAGACGGGTTCCCCCCCCTCTGGCTTGAAAGTCAGCACAAGAATTAATTCTGAAAAGTATATAAAATATAACTTTGGTATGGATCTTAGTTCTGACACACCCTGTACATTTCAAAATAATTTTAAATTATGCACATTGCCTTTCCACATATACCCATAAAATATTTTGTTTCTACACATTTCCGTTTTCGTATAATCAACCGAGGTGAATGAGGTGCGCCACCCTGTATAACTCGGATATTTTGGACTTATTTGAAAAACGGTAAAGAGAACACATGTTTCTTTTATCGAGATCTACCAGCCCTGAAAACATTTAAGACTCACCCTGTATATTGCTTGTCGTAGACTAACATCAGGTTTTAACTACAAATCTGTTTTATCAAATAATCGATAATAATATATCATTGTATCTTTTAGGGCACAAGTGTTTTATCTCCAGTTATACCAATTATATTAGTGGTTCTACCCGCCTTCATAATCTACAAAAAGTCTGAACAAGCTATTTATGAAACCCATCCAGTATTGTACATTCTTACTTTTGGATTGGTTGCAGCCAAAGTAACAAATAGATTAGTGGTATGTTGATAGTTATAATTTAAAAATGGTCAAATTAAAAAAACATAATTCTTAGGTTGCACACATGACGAAAAGTGAGATGCAAATGTGGGACTATTCCTTGGTAGGACCTGCGATGCTGTTCTTTAATCAGTATTTTAATACATTTATTAACGAATATGTCGTGTTATGGATGGCTTTGGTAAGATATGACAATCAAAATTTACTTCATAATATACCTATAAGCGATACCAATTAAACTTTTAGTTACGTAATCGAGGGCGCGATTTTTAAATTCATTGTTACCAATCATGGACATTTCCGGCGCTCGGCTGAATAACTGGAATTTAAATTTCCCGCTGTGAATTCAGGTGGTAGCTCTGCTGTAAAAAATGCCAAGTTGCCACATGTATTTATTTATTTCCTGACATTGTCATTCGTTTTGACACTTTAATTTTGTATTACGAGTTTTTGTGATACTTTAAGCTTAAATATTTTTACTAGCAGACCTTGCGATAGAACATTGTTCTTTTTAGAAGCTCTTTTAGTGCGAAGTGTATAGCTTAATAGCCGTTGAAAAAAAGTCATCGCAACCTTATTATAATATTTTGACGTGAAAGCGATAGTTATGGCCCTTTATGTCCCTTAAGTGAAGGAAGTGAGTTTTGTTGTTGTAAATAATAACTGTTTATATATTCACAATTAATTTATTTTGGTTTCCTAAAATATTTTCATTAAAAGAAAATATGAAAAAGCGGGCAACGTGACTAAAAGTTTAAATGGTATGGACTATATGATAATATACCTACATTTTAAAATGTATACAATTCCTAGCAAACAAAACACATATAACAGTTTGGATGAATTCTTTCTTTCAGATATGGGTCCTTTTGGATCTGTTCATCTACTGCAACAGGGTCTGTCAGGAAATCTGTACTCACCTTGGAATAGAATTGTTTAGGATACCCTATCCTCCAGGGGTGCCTCAAAAAGTATACGAACCGCCTTCTGTGGCCGAAAAAAACGGTACGAAATCTCACAATAGAGTTAAAACACGTAGTAACAAAAGTGCAAAACTGTGAATATGGGGCAAGTCAACCTTAATGTACATCTTAAATGTCTACTGCTTCTTTTTGATATAAGTCTTATGTTTATGGTTTCATTTTCCTTTCATACTTAAAAAGCTTCATTCAGAACCTCGCAATTAGTGGAATAAATTAGTGGTTTCAGTTACACTTTATACTTTTTAGTTTACCATCATTTACAATGTCTAAAAAACACAATTAAAATTAATATTCTAGCAACAGCTTGCGGTAGTCAGTTGTATCCATAGAGAAAGCCTAATATTTAGCTTATAAAACAATAAACTTTTGATTTCTAACCACAAATTCTCTTGACCGATGATTATCAAACGCCAAAATGACATTCCCCGCAACTTTTGAAGTATAATTAATGGAAAAGTTTAAAGTTTTTTTAACTTCTTCCACTCATTGAAGATCACTACCACTAATTTGAACGTTGTGAGTGCTTACTTTGATATTAGAGGAACAAACTTCTACGCTAATAGAAACCATTGAATAAGTCCACTAATTTTGAAGTTCTGAATGAAGCTTAATGATCAAAAATGCCACGTTCTACAAATTATAGGCTTGATTGTTTGGATAGTATCACTGATTAAGGTAAAGAAGTTTATCACAAATTATCACCTTTTAGAACTTCTATATGAAATCTTCAGCAAAGTCGGTGCCAGATCCATTTAAAAACGTTTCGTAGCTCTACGGTTGTCAGATACAATAGTTCTTAATGTTTGAGTTAGCATTAAACTTAAATGAAACGTTAAAGATAGTCTGCACGACATCCATTTTCCGTAGGCTCATTGATTCATAGGTCTATGATTGTATAAAAAAACAATGCCGAGGGTGGCCGTTTGGAGTCCCTACAAATAGTGGCAGGTGAGGCCGTAGAGCTGCGAAGATGTCTGGTGGGAAGTAGCGTGAAGGATTTGAAATTATTTTCAAAAAAGAGTCCATTTGAGATTGTTAACAGTTAAATCTATTAATATTAACTAATTGCTTAAAATTTACAATTTTTCTTTATTGAAATTCGAAACGAACAAGCCTTATAACAGTATTGTTTTGGGTTAATGTATATAAAATTGAGTTCCTATCATATATTTACTATAACTCTTTCTTATTTTTCGTTTGCTACAGTCGAAAAAAGATTTACTTCTTGTATGTTTTTTACATTACATAGAAAGAATAATTTTATAATAAAGTTATTTTGAATTGAAATATTTATAATTTTTAGTATTGTTCCTATAATTAAGTTATAGCAAGAATCCAACTTTTTAGAAATATCTCTTAAAAGTGACTAAAACCAGCAAATATATTTTATAAATCATAAATTCCTGGATTAGACACCAACAAAGAATACCATCCATCCTGTCTCGGTTAATTTTGATTTGAGCCAAAAGAGATCATTTCTATGTAAAATTTGATGCTCCACAACTTTTATTTGAACTTTAAAAAAAAGTATAAAGACCATTTTTATGTAAAATTGGACGTTCTACAACTTTTATTTACAACCAAACTCACTAAAATATTTGTTTCATCTTATATACTTATCTTTCTTTTTTGTACATTCTATCCTTATCTGATTGAATAAAAAATGTTTCAAGCCGATCGACTGAATCGGATTACAAGTTGCTGATATACTCGTAATCATTATTGTCTTTTTCTGGAAGATACACACTGTATATTTGTGCGTGTTTTAGTCGCTTGAAGCCCAAATAGATTGGAATACCAAGATTACAATATATCTAAAGAATATTTAACTTTTTTAAAGAGATATGTAGTCTATATCAAGGACTATAATAAAAAATAGTTAACTGTTTCTAAAAATAATGGAATTCTCGATATAATTTTTTAAAAATACAAGTGAAAGCTCAAAAATTTAGTGGCTTGTTTATAAATATTTATGTAGGAACAAAGCTTTAAAAACAAATTTAACATACATTTTTTGGCCTTGTGCTATTTTATTAACGGTTAAGAAGCTTTAATTTATTGCTAAGATAGTCAATTAGTGAATGTAGACAAACCTATTTTTGCTTAAAATATTAAATCACCTCATCTCACAAAATATACAAACTGTGTTCTCAATGTTCTAGTAAATTTGAAAACAACTACTTGTTTATAAAGTTATTTTGATAGAAGTCAATATTTTTACCCTCGATTGACAGTAGAATACTCAGAGCACATCCTGTATATTAAAACGCTTCATTGATGATTATGTATTATTTCGATGTAAAAAATGTACGCTATTTTAGATAAGAATCATATACAAGACATTAGTAGGTAATATATAAATGCTGTAAAAATGTCAGTTATTCAACGTAAATATTTCATGATACAAAGGTGCCAAAGAATATCTACTTTATTTACTAATTTATTTAAATTCATAAAAAAGATTTGGTTATTAATATCCTAGTTGTTATAGCGTTAAGTAATACAACGAATTAGTTTGATGGTTTTGTGGCCAGACAGTACCTTTCATACATAGATAAATGAAACACGTTTAGATTGGAAAGTGTCCATAAGGACAATGTAAACATTATTTGGCGCTATTCTTGTAACGGTCGCGACCCAAAGCTTTTTATATTTTCGGATTGGTTCGGCTTTTTCCGGAGTTATGTCGCCAAATATTTATTCAAATTTAGTATTACTTTCAATTAATTTTATAAGTAAAATACAGTGTGTTGCATACAAGAAACTTTATTTTATATAAGGACATGTATGTGAAATACATGAACATTGGAAACCGACTACTGTCACTGTATGCCACGATCCTCGATGGTTTCTGCAGTTCACAGTTCACAACACAGTTTTTAGTTTTTAATGCCACTTTTTTAGAATTATCACGAGTTTGAGTAAGTAAAATTTAAATTAAACTCACAAGATAGCAATAATTATTTTCAGAATGGACGCTTTAAACACTTCGGTATTTTTTCAATGAAGGCGGTTTAAATTTTTAAAGATTTTATAATTTTTGAAGATTCTGACTTTGACAAGAGAAAATTATTTCTATTATTGTTTGGCGGTTGTTCTTAGCAACCGCTATAGCAGCGCCAGATCGCGTACAACGGTCGCCACCCAAAACACTTATATATTTTGATGGGCTTTCCAATCTAAATTTATTTCCTTTATCTATGCTTTGATAAAGCGTGCGCACCATGTCAATTTTCGCGCCAATTTCAAACTAGGGTTAAAAAAAATTAGGTTATTAATATTTTTGTCAATATGCTTTAGTATAGGATGATGACTATCAAATTAGTTGAAAATGTAAAATTTTGAATGAAGTGCAATTACTTGTATAAATTCGTTGTATTACTTATATATAAAATACGTCTTATATTGCCTCCCTTGTTATAAGTAAAGGGCTTCATCATCTCACACATTCTTTTTTTTAATTTCATGAACGTTTCGAAATTGTATAACACTTATGTATATTAATTTATTTCACAGCTATTGATCCACTGGTTAAGTCTAGGTAGCGAATGGATCTTGGATCGTAACCATATTGTTCTCTCTCTATCTCTCTATTATATAGATGCGCAGGAATAATAACTTAGCACAAAACATTCATCGGATGAAGTGTAATTTAATCATGTCATGCTACTTAACCTTAAGGACACTATGATAATGAAACTAGGTGTTTAATTGAAGGAAAGCTGTGTTAGTTTTCGTGTGATATAATATAGAACTAATTTAGGTTTTGGCAAAGGAAAGGTTTTTTTTTAAATTGTTAATATGTACAGTTTGATATAAAGAATTTAAAGTAGATTTTTATTTTGTTACATATCCCTAGAAATAACTATCCCTTTTTTGCACTAATGTAGGAAAAAATAAGGTTAAGACTATTTATGTATATGGTTATGGTAGGTCAGTCGGATATTGGTAATTGCGTAGGCTTTTATTAACAACTTCTTTCTCAACACTTCTAGACCAACGAGAAAAAAACAATAGTTAAAATATTACCCCTAATTCTTGGTACGAAAATTGTTTTTTATGACGATGAGCAAACGAGTTAAATTTCCTGTGCGCAAAAATAAACTCGCGTTTAAACAGCGTAATAACTGGGCCGGTCAGGCGCTGTGCACAATTTTAGAGGCCATAAGTGTGCGTGCTATGTGCGCAAACTAGTAACCTAAAACAATGCTTTTGAACGAAATGCTTTTGACGATAAGTTTATAATCTGTATAATCTGTGATATTACGTTATATTTTTGTTACGCAATCAGCAAAACAAAGATTCCAGATATCATGCGCATGAAGAAGCAAAACAAAGAAGTATCCATAGCTTCTTCAGTATCATGTAGAAATCTTGTGATTTTGAAGTGTGAACTTGAGTGTTACTATAGTCCATTTCACATAACTTCTATAAATTTAAGTTGGTATAAGCATAAAGAGCCAGTATAAATTTAAATTATTTAATGTAATGTAATTTTAACTATTTAAACAATTTTTTCGACAACTGTTTTCTTAAATGCTAATAAAATCTATTTGATATAGTGTGACAACAGGAATGTTAAATCAGGTTTAATAGAGATTAATATACATGATGTCAATTATCAAAACTAGAAGTAACATGATATGAATTATACTTTCCATATCCAAACATATATGATCCGGGAAAGTTTGAATATGAAGTTGAATATTATCGTACCCAACAACCACGTAATTACGTTCTCCTTTACGTGTTAACATTGTTTCGACAATTTTTTTTGAAATTGTCACAACACAAAGCGACGCTCAGTTCGAGTTCTTTTAAGTTAGTTTTTACTACCCGAAACAGCGTTATTACATCACACAAACCTCGTACCTGTGTGTCTTATAGTTTCAATAACTGCATTATTAAAAACTAAAATACTTAAATATTATGACAAAACTACGATTTTAATATTATTTCAATGCGATCAACATCGGAACTGTGTGAAATACAGAGCTGACAACTTCTGATTTCTGCCGTATGGAGCGCTGCGGTCGGAATTTTTAAAATCAACTGAAATGCCTGTCAATGATGGGACTGTTATATATTTTATTCTTCCCTTCCTATTAATAGAAAATACGATAAAAAGTTTTATTAACAAGTCTTTGATATATTTTTTTTGATCCTGTTGTAGTGACGGTATAATATTAGCACTAACACTAGATCTATGTAGAATCACATATTTCTTTTTAAGTCACTTTGATCTGCTATAAACTAAACCACTTTACTGCACTGGTTAAGGAATTTTGGAAATATAAATTGCTTTGCTTCCTAACCTAGTAAACTTTCTGACACAGTCTGAGATATTAGAAATAAATGAGGCTCTACCAATTGAACTATATTTTTTCAGATGAGGATGTTACGCCGCTTCTTCTACAAAACGAAGAAGATATATGATAAAAGTGAACAAATTAAATAAATTTATTTATTATTTTATATATGTAAGCAGTATAATATTTTGGTTAAATAAAACGAGCTTAAATCATATGTTCACAGATTTATTTAAAATTTCCAAAATAAATAACACACAATATCTTTGGCGAAATTCTTCATTGAAGAACACATTTTAAAATATCTTAAAACATTTATACATTATATAAATTCCTAATTTATAAAAATAAATGAACGTGTAAATAAATACCAATAAGTATAATTTACAGAAATAAAATTTACAATGTGATTTAGTCCAGATAAGTAATAATATATATTTTTAGACACATTTAATCCTGTTCTCCTTAAGGACTTAACTAAATCACACTGTAAACACGTAGTCTAAGCTCTATCTTATTTGGTGTTTTTTTCCTTGTTAATAATTAGTTTTCATAAAAATACTAAACGAATATATGGCACTGAATTTATTGTTTTTCGTGCCAATTTAAAATCTATATAATACTATGTTTGATAAATATTTTTTTGTCCTTTTTACCATAAATTTTGTGCAGAAATAAAAAATACTGTGTACAATTATTCTTAAAATTGTTTTTTTTTTCTATAATATATAATATATTAAATATTTTTAAGGTAAACGTTTTATAAAAGTTTTAAAAAGAAATTTATTAAAATACAATATTAAATGCACACTTGACGTTTTTTTGGAATGCAGTACTTTTTAAATACATATATACAAGGTAGTTCGTCTAATTCGTTAGGTAGAGCATATACATATACAATGTCTTCTCTGACGTGACTTAAATTGAACCACCCGGTATATAACATCATTGGTCTCCCTTATAAGCTAATAAATGGTTATTTAAAACAAAACATGGTGAGTTTTTGAATGAGTTTTATGAATATACCTAGTTGTGTAACAGCACATTTATGTTTTTGCGTCTAATACATTAATTAGTCTATACAGGGTGGTCCGAACTGTATTCCGGAAACTTAGTTTAGGAGATACAGGTTGTAGAAGTTTCATTTTTATTTCGATTTTTTCCAAATAAACTGGTGGCTTTCCTTTTAACTGGTTTGAAGTGTAATAACTATTAGTTCGTACCTGTATAAAACTACTGAGTAAAAAAAATATACATTTACATTTTTTGCGTAAAAAAGGTCTCTTGGGAAAAATCGCTACGAGTAATGATTCTCGAGATATTTGGAATCGAAATTATCAATACCTGTCATCATTGACATAAATTAAACATGGTATTAGACTCAAATCATAAATTTGAAATGTTTTTGTGCCAGAAGTTCAACAGAAACTGTATTATCATCATTTCTTGGTAGAAAAATTTATGATTAATTTATAAAGATAAAAATTTCCCGTATTTATTATTTCAGTGAAATAAGTATCTACTCAACGTGTTTATTTTTTGACATGTATTGACTATTTCCATTCTAAATATCTTGAGAACGGTTATTCGTAGCGATTTTTACCAAGAGATACTTTTTACGAAAAAAGTTATGGAAATGTATATTTTTTCACTCAGTAGGTACTTTTATACAGGTACGGACGAAAAGTTATGGCTCTTCAAAACAGTTAAAACACATGTAGGTCGCGCCCTCTACAAATGGGAGTCATATTGACATCAAAATCAATTTTTTAAAGTTAAAAAACGCCTAGACACCAATTTTCATCCAAATATTGACGTTACTTCAGAAATTATTTGAAAAAAATCGAAATAAAAATGAAATTTCTACACCCTGTATTCCCGAAACTAAGCATTTTAGGACATACATTTATACGAACTTTTTTACTTATTTTTATCTGCAGAATATTCTACCGAAGTTACCGAAATACAGTTCGGACCACCCTGTATTTTTGAGTATACTGGATGTAAACGATTTTTTTAACGACTGAACTGATGATTGATATCTGTTCAGTGAAAAATGACAAACTTCTTATTCTCTTTTGGAATGTATTAATTCAGATCTCACAATACCCACTATTCAGATAAAATGTAAATCTTGTGATTTTACCATATTATGAGAGTACTAATTTGGGTTTTGTAAAATTAAATACTAAGGCAGTTCTAGTATTGTTAACACCCAGTATCAAGGAAATTTAATTTAATGATAAAACATAATAAATACAACAGTTATTTGAACAATATCTTAAAACTAATGAACATTAAAGGTCAATTAACAATTTTAATAAACTTGTATGTATCCACGGTTTTAATACAATCATTTTTTCAATTTTTTGGATCAATTTCAAAGTAGATATAAATCTTAATATACAGGGCGTCCCATAAATAAGTGCAAGTATTTTAACTGGTAGTATTGTTTAACTCCAGAAGCACGCCTATGAAGTTTCGCGAAAATTTTTTTGGAAATTTGAAATTTTTTGGATTTTTTTAGTTTAAAAACATAATTTCTTGATAGAGGTGTGTAGTTCGTGAACGAACTAGTACCAATGAACTATTCCGACCCCGGAATGAAAGGAACTAGTTCCTGGTTTCTCAAAGAACTACTTCCTCAGGATCTGTTCCGGGATCGAGACTGTGACCGATATAGAACAATATGCGACGGCGACGGATCGGTTAGCGCGCGTAGCCCGATGGTAGGCAGGAGTGGGGAGTGCCAGACGTACGTTATCGGATCCGGACCTAGAGGAACTAAACTAAATAAATGACTAGTTTAACGTACGAACGGATCGGGCCAGCGCGATCGATGCTAGGCAGGAGTGGGGAGTGCCAGCCGTATGCCGTATGTTATCGGATCCGGACCTAAAGGAACTAGAGGAACTAAATAAAAGACTAGTTTACGTATGGATCAGCCAGCGCGATTGATGCTAGGCAGGCGTGGGGAGTGCCAGCCGTATGTTATCAGATCCGGACATAGAGGAACTATTAGAAGACTAGTTCACGGGAATCTATTCAGTCGGCAGATCCGAGATATAATACAAGGCAACGACGATGGATTCGGCCATGTATATTGCCACAGCCGGCGCGGCGTAATTACCACAGAAGATTGTCGTGGATACTGTTTTTGATTTTTAGTCTGTTTTTTAAATATTTTATGGGAATGTTTCACTTTAGGTCCCTAAAATTAAGAAATATTTTATAAAACGAAGTATATTCTTAATTTTTAGACAAAAACAAAAATCTTGAAGTGAGGAAAAACGCAATTTTTCGTAAAATTTTTGTAATATTTGCTCCAATTGATTTGTGATATAGTTTTTTAAATTCTGATTTGAGTTTTTTTTTATTTTTTTATCTGCAATAAAACTTACCTATATGTTTTTAACATACACAATTACACGTCTCGTTATATCTCCGTACATTATAAAAATTATACAGATCATACTGTGAATAGTTGTGACTGACAACGAAATGCATTAGCAAGCAAGGGGGATATCAATGTTAGTCGGGAACTATTGTGAACTAAAGGCCTAGTTCAAGGAACTATTCCTCTGGAGGAACTAGAACTAAGGAACTAGTTCCTCCCAAGGAACTAGAATTCCCACCTCTATTTCTTGATAATATGGCAACATAGGTATTAGATTAAATTTACAAGACATAATTTTTTTTGGAAAGTTTCAAAGTAAAATAACTCCGTTATTTTGGATTTATTTGAAAAACGATAAAGAGAAAATATGTTTCTTTTATTGAGATCTATCACCCCTTAAAATACTTGCACTTATTTCTGGGACACCCTGTATAGGTTAAGAAGATTTAAGGTGTTATTTCTTTTCCACCTATTAACACTTACTTGTTTATTTTTAAATAGAACGACCTATATTCGATACTAATTAAACTTTTAGTTAGGTAATCGGGGGTACGATTTTTAAATTCATTGTTGCCAACCATGGACATATTCGGTGCCGGACTGACTAACTAGAATTTAAATTTCCCGCTGGGGATTCAGGTAGTAGCTCTGCTGTAAAAATGTCAAGTTGTTACATTTATTTATTTCCTGATACTGTCGTTCGCTTTGACACTTTAGTTTTGTTGAGTTTTTGTTTTAAATGAATCGTATTTTGATACTTAGCTTAAAAATGTTGAACGGGAAAGCGGTAGTAATGGCTCTTTATGTCCCTTAAGTGCTGTTAAGAAGCTGAGTTTTGCTGATGTAAATAATAACTGTTCATACATTTACAATTATTTTATTTTTGTTTCCTAAAATGTTCTGATTAAAAAAAATAGGTAAAAGTGGGTAACGCTGTGCCGGTCAAGTTAAATTACGTTAAATATTACACAGGGTGTTCATAAAATACACCAAAATTAGTTTCAACGCCCAGTTTTGGAAATATTTGCATGTTAAATTTTTCCTTTTTTGCTAAAATGCAATTTTCTATAAGCATATAAGTAAAAAATAGATCTTAACTATCCACGATAGGAAGCTCTCAAAAACTATATAGGTAATTCCATTTAACTAGCAAATATGGAATAATTAATTCCGATTAAACAAGAAGTGCTAGAAGGTGATAAATATTTAAAAAGTAAGCTTTATAACCTTAAAAAATCCTAACCTAAAACATTAAAATTTATATCTCTGTAATAAATTTTTTTTAATTATTCAAAACCTAGTAGAATGCAATAAAATCATTCTAATATCGAGTTATAACGTCAAATTGTTAATTAGACCACTAAAATATATTCCTGTAAATGCAGTACAATCAGTTAATTTATATAAACACTCAATACCTCTATTACATCCATGTAAAATTAAGCTATAAACAAAAAACATTTTGCAGCTTCTTCAACATTAATTAAAATATAATTGTTTTGGTATACAATCGTTTCTACAAAAAAATACATATAAATACTTTCTAATAAATACAATACGTAAATAAACAGTCTTTATAAATAATTTTTGTCAGTTTTTTTTGGTGATGGATCAATCTTATCATCGTCATTTAAAAATAATACTAGATCTAAATGCCTTTATCGCTGTTATCATTAAAAATAATACCAGATAGTTTAATATGAAATGTTTTTTTTTGAATATGGGGGTCTCTATGAAATTTAAATGCGCCATTTTATAGAATATTTATCCAAGACAATCTAATAAACTTTAAATTTATTTATTTATATGAAGTATAAAGGCACTAGAGTTAAATTTTCTTAATTTTCCTCCCTCATAAAATTTCTCTCTATAACAATTTGAAATAATTATTTGGATTTCATAGAGACGCTAGTCAAGATGATGATGATGATGCTTAAACAATAATAGCCAACGCTTTGTTTAAAAATGTAATAAGCGTATATTTTATTAATGTAAAAGTATCGCCCCAATTTTAATGAGACGGTATAAATTTGGTGTTTTTTGGTTTCGTTGTGACGAGTCTACCCATTTTGAGCAAATATTGTATTCTAGCAAAAAGCATGTATAGTAAGTAACTTGTTAAGGTATTTATATATAAAGTTATATTAAAATTAGGGCAAGACGTTAATAAGTCGTAAGTCTTATAAATTCTCTAAAAAACGTTTAAATACGCGGTTTATATGTAAGCGTCACGCATATTGTTTCCTTTGTTTTGGCAGTATCTGACGCAAGACTTTCCTCTTTCTCACCTTGAAAACGAGAGTATTATTAATTGCAGTACTAATACCATACGATCGAAAAAAAAAACGGCGTCACGGATGGCTGGCAAATGGTCGCTGTCATTTTGTAAATAACATTATATGAGGCATGCCATCGAGCGTTATTTTCAAGCCAACTGGACGCCGTTTTTTTCGACCATACGTTATTTTATCGGGCTTACATATTACGATTGCGGAAAAATTGGATCAACACTATGCAGAAATAAGTTTTTCTAATAGTTCTTTTTTAAATATATTAGAGATATACATATAAAATTATAGAGATTACTGAATACAAAATTCTTGACTTGAGCTGCTATATTTTTCAATTTTCGAAAAAAACAAAGTTTGTTTTAAAGAGATTTATATAAGTTTTAACACACGTCATAGGACAATTATAGAAAATTAAGATTGTCGATGTTTATATATAAGCGATACCAATTAAACTTTTAGTTACGTAATCGGAGGTGCCATTTTTAAATTCATTGTTGCCAAACATCGGCGCCGAGCTGACTAACTGGAATTTAAATTTCTCGCTGGTCAACTTGCCCCATTTTTATTTATTTCCAGACATTGTCATTTGTTTTGACACTTTAGTTTTGTATTACGAGTATTTTTTTACTAGTAGACCTTGCAGTCGAACATTGTTCTTTTTATAACCTCTTTCAGTGCGATGTTTATATAACCTTATTAGAATATTTTGAACGGGAAAGCGATAATAATGGCCCTTTATGTCCCTTAAGTGCTGTTAAGGAGCTGAGTTTTGTTGATGTAAATAATAACTCTATATATTTATAATTAATTTATTTTTGTTTCCTAAAATATTTTGATTAAAAGAAAATATGTAAAAGTGGGCAACGCTGTGCCGGTCAAGCTTAATCACGTGACTAAAAGTTTATTTGGTATGATCATTAAAAGATTGTTTCTTCAACATTTAAAAGGTAGGGTTAGATTCCAAGATGTTGACAAGTATTATATAGAAAAGCTTATTTTCAAACGAAAAACTAACTGAATATATAAAAAATAAATGAATGAATATTTAAAACGTTTGCTTTAAAATAAATGAAATACCTCCACTGTCTTTTTGGCGCATTTAAACATATATATCGATTTGGTCATCGACACTGTGCGGTTTGGATTTTAACGTGTAAGACAGTAGATAGCTTAATAGCAGACTGTAGACAGCTTAATGGAAAATCAGATGTATTAAAAAGAAATAAAAATTGGGTCGACACATATCTTCTATGCGGTATTGCCGGATGTTGCATCAAAATGTCATACCGCACAAGTAGGCGTTTACGAAAAATGTTGCATCTAGGGTTGGAACTTCATTTTTCACTATTAGTTACTCATTTTACTACAGCTGTAATAGATTATATTTAGTTCAGACATATTATCATCACTTCAGTAGCATACATGAAAGTTTTTAAACTCGCTTATTTACACATTTTCCTACAAACGTAAAAAACCGGCAACATTGTTTGCCGCTTTTGATTATGTCTCTCTGTCTGTCAACCGGTCAGTTATATTATTCTCTATCACACGCATTAATATCCAGACCACATAAATTGGATGACCAGCAGGGTATGACTAGCATGATTATGCCGATCCAATTTAAATTTTTGATCTGATAAATCTAGTTACCGTTTTCCAACGTTGCTGGAGCGTCTACCGGACACGAACACAATTCTCCTTTGTTTTTGAAACTGCACGACCTGGATATGTTCTCGTATTTGACCTTGAAACTGTTCGAACGGGAAGCGGAAGCCTTCCTCTCGCCTCTTCCTTTGAAGCTGTCAATAATAAAAACAGAATTAAGATAATATTAGACCCGGCAACAATGCGAGGACAAAAATATTTGATACAGATAGATATATTTGGATATTTATATGTAAGCAACCAACATTTCACATTTCTACCATAAGTAGGTCTCCATAATTATCTAACAGGACATTTACTTGAGTATCGCTATACCGTGATGGCAACTCTTACTTTTGGGTCGGTATTTACATGTGTGGAAGTAAATCGCATAGGGATTTTAGTAAGTCTCTGTTGCGGCGTTGCCACATGTCTTCGGTCCGCCTTTCCCTATCAAGTAAAGTAAAATCACGATCGCAAACCGCTTATTTTTAAGACTTTTTTTCGAAAAGATAACTAGATAAAATCATGATATATGTTTCTGAGCATCTGAAATGGAAGGTTGGAAAATCGACAACTATGAATCTATGATCCCTTCCCCGACACAAACGGTACATTGTGAGACAGGAAATTGTAGAGAGAAACAAGCCCTATAACATAGAATACAACATTTTAATGAACAGTGCTTTCCATAAAATCAATAAAATGAAAAATATACGAAATAATATACATGTACTGATTTCTTTCGAAAATCAACAACTATGAAACTATGATCACTTCTCCGACACAAAACGGTACACTGTGAGACAGGAAATTGTAGAGAGAAACAAGCCCTATAACATAGGATACAACATTTTAATGAACAGTGCTTTCCATAAAATCAATAAAATGAAAAATATACGAAATAATATACATGTACTGATTTCTTTCGAAAATCGACAAGGATATCGTGATGTTATCCATTTTTTTAGTTATCTATTTCTGAATTCAGAGTTCTAATAGCGCGACCACTGTCGAACACCAACTCAATTTCACTTATTTTTACCAAAAGTGCTATAGGGAAAATTACGACTCGTTAATAAATAAACAAATAAAGCAGCACGAGACGTAATTAAATCGTGAAGTTGAACGCATGATATACACCCTTTCCTAGAATTTTAATATGGTACTGACTGGGTCGACAGCGACGAATCTGCTGTACCCCCATGATACAAGAAGGTTAGATAAGATTCTTGGCGGTCGCAACTCCAACTTTTGTGTTCTCGGCGCGCATGTCGTCACTAGGGTAGTAAATTTCTGTTAAGCTCCGCCAACTACATGCGCAATATCTTCTCTCAAAAGATCCCTGGCGGTGGCAAATCGGTTCTCCGCGCGCATGAGGTCACCCGGATAGTAATTTTCTGTTAAGCTCCGCCCACTACATGCGTAATATCTTATCTAACCCTCCTTGTATCATGCTATATCCCCTTCCACGTCTCTTAGCAACGTGCACAATTTCTCTTTTTATTTCATAATTTTGGCAACGTTTTTACCTTTGTTCAGGACATTATAAACGCGTTGTACTCTTTTTACATACGGAAATCTCGACCCAATACTAACTTTTGCTAGTCCCTAGTATAAGGCACAACCCATGATAAGATTTACTTGATAAGGAATAATAATATCAATCAAGGAGAGGTCGTATTTCAAATCATTAGAATATAATATGATAATCTGTATGTTGACTGAAACCAGGTGTGCTTAAATAATAAAAGTTACCTGCTAGACCTGGAACCATTCTCTTTATTTCTCCGACTGGCAGATCGTTGGACGTATCTTTTATCCCTTGAATTAGCCCTCTTAATACTCGGTCTTTTTTGTATAGATTCCGCACTCAACGACAAGCCGGCCACTCCAACTAAACAAACCGTAAGGTAATTATTAAAAAATATTTTATTCCTCAACCAACCACAAGTGTATTACCGATAGTTCCTGATGATGAGCGTCTGAGTAAGGCGCTCGTAAGTGCCGAAACGTCTGCTTTATTAAGAGGCATGTCCAGGGATCCACCGCAACTGGAACACTCCACTGATGGACCTAGAAACCACTGAGATCTGGTCTTCATTCTTTCGGTTTGCCTTTCGTGTACCTAAGAAATCAATAATTATTTCTTAAATTTCTGTATTAAACAATTTTATATAAACCATTTATTAAAAAAAATATATAAACATTTATTTTTCCTCTTCATGCTGGAGGTTACCTAACAAATAGTTATTTCTAAAGTGTATTCGAAACATAATTATAAGGTATACCCTGCTGGTCATTCAATTTATGTGGTCTGGATTTTAATGCGTGCGACAGAGAATAATATAAGAAAACTGGTTGACAGACAGAGATACAAAATCAAAAGCGGCATACAGTGTTGCCGTTTTTTACGTTTGTAGGAAAATGTGTGTAGAAAAATATAAGCTATTTTAAAAACTTTCATGTATACTACTGAAACGATGATATATCTAAATTAAATATAATCTATTACAGCTGTAGTAAAATGAGTAACTAATAGTGAAAAATAAAGCTCCAACCCTAGATGCAACATTTTCTGTAAAGCCTACTTGTGCGGTTTGAAATTTTGATGCAAAATCCGGCAATACCGCATAGAAGGAATGTGTCGAACCAATTTTTATCTCTTTTTAATACATTTGATTTCCCATTAGGCTGTCTAAGACATCACTGTCTTACACGTTAAAATCCAGACCGCACAGTTTCGATGACCAAATCGGTATATTTTTTTATCTATAGCCTTGGTGCATTTCAGTTGATTTCAAAAAATTCCGACCGCAGCGCTCGCTACGGCAGAAATCAGAAGTTTTCAATCTATATTTCACGCCGTCCCGGTTACAGTTCATGTTGATAGCATTAAAATAATATTGAAATCGTGTTTTTGTCATAATATTTAAGTATTTTAGTTTTTTGTTAGTGCAGCTATTGAAACTGTAAAACACTCAGGTACGAGGTTTGTGCGATGTAACGCTGTTTCGGGTAGTAAAAATTAGGTGAAAAAGAACTCGAACATTTGGGCGTCGCGTTTTGTTGTGACAATTTCAAATGTTAATAAAATTGTCGAAAAAATGTCAACGCGTAAAGATTCTTCGTAAAGAAACTTCTTTAGACGCGCTGCGAGTAAAAATTCAAGGCTGTGACACGACACGCGACACAACAGGTGAGAGGAAAAGTGGTAAGGACAGACACGGCTTAGAAAAAAATCTATTTTAATAAAATTTGGTATGTCAATAGATTGGACCAAGGCCAACTTGACTGTGTACTGACAGGTGCCACTGTGACAGTTAGTTTTAACGTAAGAAACGTCAGAAGTTGATATCCGTCCAAAGACATCTAAATATAGGTAGACAGAACACTCCATTCATAAAACTCAATTTTTTAGAATCATACATGGTTTGACACTTTTATGAGAGTTAAAAAGAGATGGGTACATAAATATGACAACACGGTTGAGTTTCGTCTATCTTGCTGTCATTTCGCTCCATCAGTGGCGTGACGGTGGTGTGGTGTTTTTTATCCAAAATTGTAAAAAAAGTTATTTTGTGTATTTTAATTTAAATTTTAATTTGAAATATACGTGGTAATATCGATAATATACAATGTAGGGGCGTTTGCACCAAGTTTTTTAAGCAAAACTTAACATTATGTTTAGCATTTTCTTGAACTATGCTTTAATCTAACTTGAATTTATATTTAAATTAAGCGGTCAAATTTCCAGGCTAGTGGCCACTTAACCTGACTAAGGCACAAAAAATTTGTTTTACGAGAAAGTATAATTATTTTTATTATATTCCTTTGAGAAAGCTAAAAAGTGTATTATGATACCTCTACGTAAGTTCGATGATTACTTTTGATATCTTAGAGACGTCGATCAGTAGGTATATTCATTGAAAATGGATTTCCTCAAGAGTGGATGTAAGGAAAAATCATATTTCCAAGAAATGAACCTCCTTAAGTCTTTAGGACAGAGACTTTTAAATGACACTGTAATATATATCCTCGGTTTAATTGAACAAAATCTAGAATATCAATATGAGAGGTAAGTTGGAATTCTAGTAAATCTAATGTAAGATAAATTAATTATATTTATACTTTGAACCATCTTTCTTTACTATTTCCAGAAACAACAGCAAAAGTGTTTTAAATCAACTCTTGTGTATATTAAGATTCTACACTTCAGGGGCTATGTCCAGTCTACAGCTTTTTTTATGGGCATGTATGTTTGTTTCTACCACTTCTCGTATTATGTTACAAAAGTATCCCATGAACTTCCACTGCTTTACCCTCAGTTCATAAAAATGCCTGAATAAGAAACTCTAGTTTTAGAGCAGGAACAATTTTATAGTATATTTGGGTTTCCTTGGATTATAGGGATAGTTGATGGAACACAATGTAAGAAAACATTCACCTGGTAAGTACCTATATGTTATATTTTCTTCAATATTTATCAGCACAAGATTTCTTATACTTTACAGGGGGTAATGATGGAGAGGTATTTAGAAATAGAAAAGCATTATTTTCCCCAACATTTAAATTACTGGAAATGCTAGTCTTAAAACTATAGACAATAGACATGATTGCTTGTTGGCATGGGTCTGTGCATGAAGCCACCATTTTTTGGATATTAAGGACGTATTAAGGACTCGCTTGGAGACTCAAAAATGTGACTTTTCAAATTAAATCCTGCTTGGTTAGTGGTCCATATATTTACTTATTGTTAGATCATTTATATAAAATATATTCCTTAAATATTTGAGTAGGTATTCAATTTAGAAATATATTACGAATAAGATGAATTGAAAGAAATTTTTTAAAATTAAATGTGAAAATATTCAAAGGGTTCATATACTCTATTAAATTATTTTATTATCTGTTATAAGGTGATAGTGCATATGCATTGAGGGGATATATGCAGAAAGAGAGCTGAAGAACTGTATTACTGAAGAAATGTTTCAGAATTATCGGAATATGGAAACGCCACTTTCCAATATGTTTTATGGTATAAGACCAAAATTGCAAACCACAATGTCAGTTATTGTTGCACAACAGTGAGTTAAGAAAAATATTATCTGTTTAATTATAGAACACAATTTAAAAATTTTAATGTATGTACTTAAATTTTTAGATTTTGTTGTTTCAATGTGCTACACAATACAGCCAGAATGATACCTGAACAAGAGCTGCCGCCGTTAGATGAAATAAATATGGACCAAATTAATAAGAAGAGAAATAATAAATTATTTTGAAAGATTAGGGCAATATTTTTTTAACTTATTCTAAACATGTTTTTATGTTGCTAATGTTGCTGTTGTTTTTTTGTTTTTGAGTATTAATTTCTATAAAATATCATTATTAAATGTCTTTTATTCAGAAATAACATACATTACAGTTTTTACATTACAATATAAACAATAATTAAAATTATTAAATAAGTTCTCTTTAAGAACTTCACTGTTCTTTTTATTTCAATGTCTACAAGCAACCCTTTTTTTCTTTAGCTTATGTTCTTCTCTGTTTTGAATACTACTACTTTGAATTTTGTCCATCTCCATATTACAAAAGAACAGCCTTTTGTCTAGTAAATTACTATCTTCCCTTTTCTTCAGTTTCTTTGTAACCATCAGTATTGTTTTGAGACTGAAAAAATATCTAATTATATTGAATTCTCTTAAAAGTAATAAAAAATTCAAAAACACAATGAAAGGTTAGTACTTACAATACCAGTACTCCTATTAGTTTTAGACAATCTATCACCATCGTATGTTTTTTTAATCCCACAATGCTCTTCTCATTTTTACATTAATTGAATATATTATTATCTTCCGTTTTTGTTTTTTGTATATGTAGACCTCCACCAGTTAGTTAAAATATATTTTAATAATTGCCTTTCTTTTACATAGATTTAAACATATGTTGTAAGCTGTTTTTCTTTGCGACTCTATGATTGGCCTTTCTTTTAAAGTAAGTCCAATAATATACAATTAAATTATTTCAAAATTACTAAAAAGTATGTTGTTCTTATATTTTGATAATTTTTTATATGAATATTTTGTAAATCCATTCTGAGAGTTAAAAATATCAAAAATATTGGGCCAGTTTATGTATCCCTTATAAAAATGTTTTCGGTGAATAAAATTACAATGTTAAAGCAAAGGATAGTAGCAGAGGATTGGATTTTTGTGTGGCAGGTCCTTTTAACATTCTTTCAAAAATACTTTGTGCTGGCCCAGCTAGGGAAGCCTAAAAAAACATATATTATCTCTGTTAATATTATATCTCTAATATTATTATTAGTCTTTTTTATACACATCCAAATTCACTAAAGGGTTTTAAAATTTAGACCTGGCCTTGTCATGGAAATTAGAACCTTCCATTAATCGTATTTATGCCACTGTCATATAGATTAGTATATCATTCACAAAATTAAACCAGAACCAAATTTAAAACTTGTTAATGAATCTTGGCAGATTTTGGCATAATGGCTTGAGGACTAAAGTAATAAATGGCTGATAACTTTACATTATTAGAGTTCCCCTCCGCCACTCAGATATATACATATATAGTGCGTCCAAGATAACAATTATAAGCATTGAAATCTCAGAAAGGTAAGAGATACAGGGTCAATTAGAAATTGCTTTTAGCGATTTTTGTTTTTTTGGATCTTCACATAATAACCATTATGTTTTTAAAATGTCACCCTGCATACCTATATTTATACCTTTATGGTCAATTCAGATGATTCATTTATCAAAGATTTTTCTTTTAAGTAATCAATTAATTGATGCATTGATGTTATTTTATTTTTCAATCTTCTTAGACCCATTTGTAAAGTATGTATTTTTCATTTTCTTTGTTCCCAAATTTTTATGAGACTTAAATTTCTACATAATATCATTATTATACCTCATTAACATACTTCTTTCTGAAATTAAATATCTTTTGCACAATTTTACTTGAGATACAGGGTGGCGCCTCTCATATGCTACCAAGGAGTACGACAGTTTGTATTGAAATTAAATTTTGGGGGCATATGTAGGTTAATTTAGAGAATTTAAACATATAAATGTATAAAATATGTGCTTTTTAAAAATAGAGAGTTCTACAGGGTGTCACCAAAAAAGTTACACAACAAAGTTTTGTTTTTTTGTAATGTAAATTTGTTTTTTTTTGCAAAGTTTTGTTTTTGTAATATTTGATTTTTGGATTCTATGAGAAAAATAAAGGTGAATTTCATTATTGGACTAAAATGTAAGGTTTTTAACATATTTAAAATTTTGTACTTGAAATCAGATTACAACAGGACTTAAACAGTTATACAGGGGTGACAAAATTAATATTGAATATTGACCACTTTAAAAGCAAGTTTCTCTTTTATTTCAAATGGAACACGCAGAATACTATTCTGATCTTTTAATTGTAGTGTGCATTCATCAATTAATAGAATGCTTAAATGTCAAATGTATGAATGTGTAAAGTACCATTTAGGTAGCTCTTACTGAAATTTAAAGTTTATTCATTATTTTCACCAAATGTGATATGACAAGCCTTACATTTTAGTATTTTAGACATATGCTTCTTTAATGAAACTCACCTTTATTTCTTTCCTAGAATCCGAAAATCAATTATGTAATTTATAAGGTGTTCCATTACAAAAAAAAACTTTGATGCGTAACTTTTTCTGGGGACACCCCGCAGAACTCTTGATATTTCTGTAAAACGCTTTCTATTATCCTACATATGCTTCCAAAATTACATTTCAATATAAACCACTATTCTCTTTGGAGCCTCCGCGTCGTATGAGAGGCGCCACCCTGTATATAATGTACAGATAATTTTTACCTTTTTCTGATAGGACTTCTTGAGCCAATAAATATCCAACTATTGAAAGATCAGAAAATGAGAATTATCTTACTATGCTGTAAACAAAAAAAACATTAATAATTAATTTTTCAATAAAAATAACTATATTTTGTTCTTTAAATTTTTCGTAAATACTAATAATTTCCTTCTAATGGTATTATTAAATTTATCATGGGAAGTTTAAACAAGAAGGTTTTCTAGTGCAAAGAGCAAAAGCTCATGCATATAAAATATATGTATGTAAACAATATTAAAATACATGTATAAAATATATTTTATCAATGTTCTTACAAATTTGAGGGGCCAGCCAAGGAACAAGCCAAACTGCCAGTCCCTCAGCTGGTCTGGAGGCTCATTTACGTAAAATATTTTTTGGGTGGAGTGCGAACTAGAAGAAAACCTAGCCTAAATAATACTAATATTGTTACAATACTTTTTAACTGATAAAATGTATTTCACTACTTTTTACCTGCATGATAAGGCCCCAGCAAAAATGGTAGTATCTATTTGAGGCTCAGCATTTGGTCTTATTTGCAACCAGTTTATTCGGTGATCATAATATTGCTCTTATCAAACTTATCAGAACAAATTTGATTGCACACTTTTGATTGATTTTCCAACTTCTAGAGTGAAATGCTTCGCTGTCTACGCTCAGTATTTACAGTAAAGCTACAAAAATACTATTGGTTACATATGCAACACATACATAATATATATAAAGTATAATAAACCTATTTGATAAAATATGTAAAATAAAAATATGTGGTAAAAAAGGCAAAATTAACCTAAAGGAAAAATCTAGGTTTATACATATATATAGTTATTTTATTATTTTTTTAATTTGAGTGTAGGACAGACTTATATCTTTATAATAAATAAATAATAGATCGATCTTACCTATAATATATGTTACGGTTAATATCTAAAACCTGCTAATAATAACTAGAGCTCAAATATACCATGTAGATCGTAAAAACAGTTTTCTTTCAACATTAGGGGAAGAATTACACAATAGCTAAAGTCTGAAGCTCTGGTCTGAAGTAATTGTAAAAATGGTGATGGTACCTTTTATGTACGCCGCCAATCTTAAAGTTATTGATGTAAATTTGATTGATATTCTACAAATAATGTATTAACTGTTTAAGTACTGATACTCGGCTAAATGTTTGAGATCACTTCATTATTTATTTTTTGACAAAATTTGAGGTTAGAATATACCTTTTGCTCGCGTCTGCGCGTATGGCTGGCGGTAACAATGAAATATTGAAAATCTGGATTTTATTTTATTTATATTTTCCTATTAATTTTGAAAAATAGCGATAGCAATTTTGATATTCAAATTTCAGGTATTAACTACCTATAATAGCTGTTTTATTGGTACAGATATTAGCCATAACATCCACAATTTTTAAAATATTTATAGCGGTTTCGAATGTGTGTGTAATTCTAATTTCACAATCGAAAACGCTATCTAATAACAAAATATACATTTTTGTAATAATCTACGTATAGTTCTAAATAGTAGAGACGCCACTGTTAAAGCTAGAAAGACGTAATGTTACTTACCGCCGAAATATCAATCCAGGGGTAGAATAATCCACCTTTTTACAAATTATGCACTTGCGAACCACCGTAGATAGTTAAAATACTACTTTGAATAGTTTTCTTCGCAAAAAACGCAATAATTGCTGGAAAACCTGTTAAAAACCAAAAATTCACAACCGCAAAGGAAATCTCGCAACAACGGCCTGTAAAACATTTGATGAATGAAACCGTCAAAAATCAGCGTAATTCCTACAGATTCCTACAATTTGTAGTAAAATCTCAACCACAACGATGCCAAGCGTTGCCACAGTAATTTCCCTAATATATTTTGATATAATAATTTAAACAGAAAAAGTAATTTCTAAAGATAATTTCAAAGGTATAATCTATGTATTTTAATTAAAATTATATACCTACACAAATATTTAGTTTAACGTATCTATCGTACCCAAAAAACATTAATAAGAATAATAACATTTTTAACAACAATACTACAATCTATAGGCGCAAGGGAAATCTGTCATCATCGATTTTTGTGCAACACGGTTCGTGATCGCGGTAAAATGTAAGTTGTTTTGTCTCCCTTTATTTAGATGTCTTTGTATCCGTCTATCGCGAACGAATTTGGTGGGTAGGCTATGTGAGCGACTGTGCACGCTGCAAAGTTGGATACGACGTTTCGTTTACATCTTCATCAAGGTGGGACTAAGAATTTGATATTGAAGAAAAATGTGGTTCGATTTTGGCATAATTGGGGACGGGCTACAGGATGACGCCCTCGATGTTTCGAACTGATGCCTCTAAATGGACGAAATCATCAGGATTTTTCTCTCTTAATTATGTGTCGATTGGGACCTAACTCGGCACGTGGATAGATCCTCAGAGGGATAGATGGCCATTTTAATTGAACTTTTGTGAAAGAAAATCAAATTATTTATTAATTCTTAACTTCTTACATTTTCAGCATTTCAAACTACACTTTTTCAAACATATCTTTTAAATCCTTCAATTTAATAGCTGTTAGTAAGAAGTTTCACTTCAAATATGCGCACATAGTGCACACATAATTTTTTTTAAATAGTGTAGTGTTTGTTTTTCTTGTAAGTTTCGTTAATTTAATCTGATTTTAAATTACCCACACGAAAGTTAAGAAGTCTATTTGACTTACTTGAGGTAAGTAGCTTAAACTTCTAGTGCTTTCTGCATAAGCGTTTACAGCTTTCAATTCGTCTAACGTCATTTTTGGTCCTGTATAACTATATTTGGACGAATGACTTGTACTTGAAGAATTGGATGTATTATTCTAAAACAAATAAATGGTCTCACTATACAGATCTATGCCTGATCATTTTGTAATCTACATATGAATAAGACAAAGGTAATGATACCTAATTTACGTCAAAAGCAGTTGATAGACAGACATAAAAATACGCAGGGTTGCCGGTTCCTGCCGTTTAGTAGGCATAATTAAAGATTTTCGAGTTAGAAATACAGAGTTATGCGTGCACACCAATTGAAAATAAAATATTATTTGAGGATTGTAACTATAAAGAAATGGTCCAATCCTTGCTGCTGTATAATGTAAAACGCTTTCTTGGTCGAGTTTATTTTTTAAGGAAAATACAGCAATGCCGCTTAAAAGAAAGGACTCTCTGCAAAAAGTCGGCTTTCTGTCTCTTTTTAACATGTTGGAATTTCTATTAGAGATCTCCATCTCCATATTTCAAAGGTATGTCAAAATAAAATATTTTATTACTGGATAGAATATTGTTTTAGGTTATAACACCTTTTTGAAAGAGTTAGTCTTGATTTAGCATTAATATAAGTTAATTCACAATGGCTTTTATTACATACCTGAAATAATCCATTTTGCTCTAAAGATATGGACAGTCGGGTGCAGGATTCTAAAAGGGTGTGTTCAGCGATCATTCCCAAAGATGACGAATTCACCTGTGATTGTAAACCAACCTCCAATAGAGCCGGAGTCGACTGACATTCTTCCCCTTGTGTCATCGCTAGAAAATAAATTCGAAACACCCAAATTTAGTAAAACATTTACCATCAATTTTCTGGTTTCTAAAAAACAACTTTACATACCTGCAAAAAAATATTAAAAAAGCAATCAACCATGTACCATTCATTTAGTGTTAGAATTATTCAAAACACATGCCAAAGTTCGTTCGTGCGTTATTTTCATTTTATTTTAAATGTGATTTACATTCTTCCACTGTCAGTAGCTAAAGCTGCAGCTAATTAAATCAATTAAGAAGCAAAAATCAATACAAAAAGAAACACACAAAGAGAGACGATTACAAAATAAAACTGCAAGAAGTGTTTGATCTAATTAAAAAAACTAATAATTTATTATTTATACGACTTTTTTGTAATAACGAAATATCACAGAATCGTAGCATACACATTGAAAGGAATTATAAATATATACAACGCGTAAATATAATAATAGTAAGTAATAATAAAAAAATTATAAATATATACATCCAAAGAGAGTGGAAGTTAAAATAGGTATGGAACTACCTAAATTATATAAAAGTGATATTTTTTGTATCTGTACTATTTGATATAAACCATTACTAATGATACATTAGTATATATAATAACAACTTCAGCTATTTTATGTAAAATATATGAAAAGTTGCTTTGGATTTCCTGAAAATCGAAAAACTACAAGTAAATGATAATAAGTTTCCACTCTCTGGAAAATTTAAAAAAAGTTCGCCTGAAAAGGCAACGATACAATCTAATAATTCGTATATAGGGTGTGTCTGTTAATATCTATCTGTGAAAATTTTAAATGTAATAGGATAATTTTATTATAATTGAAGGGCCCAGCGGAAAAACTTGATAAGCGCTAATTTCTCAATTTTCGGATTTTACAATATTATAGTAGGTCTAACTGGTTCCTACAAAATGTATAAATTCTGCAGGACAATAAGTTGTTAAATCCTATGATATATGCCTAGTAAAAATATAGAATACACGGAAAGAACCTGATAAGCACCACCTGTCCAGTGCTCTCCTGTAAAATTAGTAAAATGGCGTTTATCATGTTTTCCCCAGGACCCTTCAATTTTGGAAGCACTTCAATCACACAAAAATTACACCTAATCAAATGATTATTAAAAACTAGCTACTCTTTATATTCTAAATCTAAAATTGTCGTTTGTATTTCATAAATAATCCTTTAAAACTATCTGAAACAAAAAAAAACAGTTCTCAGACTATCTCAATTCAAAATTTATTTATGCATACTGATTATTAAGTAAAGTAACATTTTAAAAACTCATACATTAAATACTGTTTTTTATACGAACTGTTCACCGTTCATTAAAAATATCCTAAGATCTAATTTTGATGTTAATATCAATGTTTTAACAACCGAATGAGATGATTCTTTAAAATTTAGAATATTCTTGTTGGATATAAGAATTTCTGTTGAATTGTTACTGTGTAATTTGTATCTCTGAAATTGTGTTTCGTTTCAGTGGCGATATTCCTAAAAGATTATAGTATTGTATTAATTATTATACTATTAAATAAAAAAAAAAAGAGTAAGAGATTATTTTATATCTTTGTATGGGTAAAAACAAACAAATTATATTCTAAATTAAACGACTTAAAACAAGTTAAAAAAGGCCCTACAGTTTTCGAGACAAAATAAGGATAAGGGATTTCGTTTGAAAATGGTTCGTCAGAACCTGTCATAGAACTTTTAGGCGTACTTTACAACACACCCTATATATCTTTATCCTTTAAAAACTACATCAAATCTAAGCTATCATACTTTCGAACAACGCCCTCTCAAGCACTTAAACTAAACTAGGCAAGAAAAATGAACACTCCTTCTCATATTCTATTAATGAACAAACAGCTTTCGATAAAAAAATTACATATGTTCAAATTTAGAAGAGTAATAAATAGAAAAAGAATCACTAATAGAACATGATGAAAAAAACTCTTTCTATACTAGATCATGTATACTTCGTGGATAATGATTTACATTTTTCTTCAGTTGAAAAATTTAAATTTTTATTTGTATTATTCAGGTACGTTTAAATATTATAAAATAAATTATACAAAACTGTTTGCCTATGCTGTCATACTTAAACTAAAACAAAATACATGGTGTCACATACTCACATTTCATAAAGATTTAGCGATTTAATTTTTAAGTGTTAAAGATTCGAGACCTGTGTTTCAATTTTGTTTAGAGACAACTGTATTTACGAAGAAGAGTGGGTACCCGTGACACTTCACAAGGGCCTCTTGTGGCTGTTAAGGGGCAATAGTTTGTCATTTAATATAATCTCAAAATATTTACAACTCAGTAACTTTGTTTATAAATAATACGCAATTTGGTGATGAATTTTTATAGTGATGTTATTGTAATATTAATATACTGTCATACCAAGAGGGAAAGTCGTAATTGACAAAATTTGGGATCTTCAAATTTTCCTATATTTGGAATATGTACAATTAATCCTATCAGTATACCAAGTCCAGTAGTCGTATCTGAAGTAGAAACTCTCTCATGAAAATACTCAAAATAATGTATAATAAATAATGATATACAGAATGTCCCGATTATCTTTACAAGAGGAAAAACGTTTTTTTATTAATGACATTATGAGAAAAATGCATTCTTCATAAAAACCTTTGCTTGTTCTAAAACGGTTAATAACGTTTATACATTTCCAAATTTTTATACCGTTTTAGAATTTAAAAAAAAAACATGAAAATAGAGTTAAATTTTTTCCTAAAAAGTCCTAAAATTCAAAAGGCGTATGGTAATACAACCTCGATTTCATTCTATCATAGATGGTTATTATTAACTGTGATTAGCATCAAATTTTTGCTGTTGTTAAAGTATCCTCATTTTCCGATAACTATTGTCAGCCTTTCTGAAGAATTAAACTAAATAAATGTTTTTTTGTGCTTCTTTAACATTTTAAAACAGCAAAAAATATGACGTTAATTAAAATTCTATTAATAATAATCTATCAAAAAATGAAAAAGAAATTATATTACCATAGAAACGCGTTTTGATTTTTAGGACTTATTAGGGAAATAATAGAGTAGAAAAAATCAACCATATTTTCATGTTTTTTTTAAATTTCTCTTAAACAGTACGGAAATTTGAAAAAGTATAAACCGGATTAACCATTTTAGAATAAGGATTTTTTTGAATAATGCGTTTTTCTCAAAATCTCAATATTAAAAAAAATTTCGTCTTGTAAAGACAATAATACAGGGACAGTGTAATAAATATTCAAAGTGGAGTTGTCATTGGAAAAAGGAATGAATGTCCAAAAACTCGCCAGAACAGCAGAAAGACCACAAAAACTAGCTCTGGTTATCGCCAATCTTCGCTGAGAAAATTAGAAAAAGAAAAATATCACCGAATTTAATTTTTGGCAGTTACAACCTCTTGTCTTAGCATGGGAGTATATCAGTCTGATCAAGAGTATTATAATTATGTGTGGTATTACAACTGTAATAAACTGACTAATTAATTATTGTTGATATTTATTTTCCTGGTATAAGTAGTTTAAACAACCCGGGACAACAGAGACAGAGAATAAATATCTGCGTTGTTTTGAGAATAGAGTAGAAATATTATAGCTGTATCCACGAAATTATATATGATCTAGGCTCTCTATACAGTGTTGTTAGCGCGATAGAACGAGTCTTCGTCTGCTTCGGGATCGTTCGTGCTAGCTTTACCTTCCAAATAGCTGGGATTCCAACAATCGTTATTTTCGCATTGCAGCCACGTCTCTTTGCCCATCGACAAATGCCCTTTAAGCGAAAGCACCGGAAAAATTAGTATTTAGTCTATTTAGTCAAGGCGGTTTTAGTAAAAACTAAATTGGGTAGATTAGCGACAACGTCACAAAGTAATGCAACCAACAATATAAAGTTCGTCCAAGATTTCGATAGACGACATCCAAAAAATTACAATTTACCTATGAATAAAAATGACAGCGAACTGTAAATGTATCATGTATTTTCCCATTGGGCAGACTATAGAAAGGAAACAAGTTTAGATTGGAATGCTCGGCTTGCCACCAAAACTTAAGACGTTTTGGGGTGCATAGGTTGTACGGGATCTGATGCTGCTATAGCGGTTGCTAAGAACAACCGTAAACAAAAACAGAAATAATTTTCTCTTGTCAAAGTCAGAATCTTCAAAAATTATAAAATCTTTCAAACTTTAAACTGCCCTCATTGAAAAAATACTGAAAAGTGTTTATGTTACTACTCCTCATATCATCTCTAAGCATAGCTGACATAAAGCTGAGAATAAAAATACATTAAGATAGCATTTTACATTTAAGAATTTAGTGGATTCATTGCTTCATATATGTATGACAAAAACCGCATATATTTTTTTTAATTCAATAATATATTTTACCACTTTCTTGGCCGGACTGTAGTCTGTTCAACGAGGAAATCCATAATAGTGAAAGTTGTGTCTGATATTTTAATTCCCAAGTAATTTGATTTTTCTTGCATTTTTTGTACGTCTTATATTTTGTAACGTCAGCTATTAAAAAAGGTTTAAATTGTTAGGACTGTTATTGTATTGTTGGTTGCAGATCCAGTGATGTCCCTAATCTACACATCTAAAATGATATTAATTTGTTACTTTGAATAATCTGAATAGAATTATAAATAAAGTGCGTTATTGACTTATTAGGAAGTGTATAACCTAAATAAATGTGAGAATTATTATTATAATTCACATTTTTGTGAAATTAGATGTTAATTTTTAACTAAATTTAGTTAGTTTCGTTAAACTATTTCAAATATGCACATTTCTCATGCCAAGCCAAAGCGAACCACACACTTAAAATATTATTTATTTAGTCACGGCTATTTAATAAAAAAATATATAAAAAATTGCGCAACGAGGCGTTAAAAAATGTCTTTCATTTTTTGCCACCTTTGCATACCACCTGATAATTATTAATATGGTCAACAATCACGGAGCAATAAGAGAGAGGAGGCGCTACAGCTGTTGAGAAAAGAGGTTCACCTAGCCGCCCGTCATATTAGATTGTGATCTTTTTGTAATTTGTGCTTTTTTCTCAAAATTTAATGTTTTTTATCGATAATTTGAGTGTTTTCTATTACAAAAACCTTAAAAACCATGGTGTCGTGTAATGTACGCAGTTGTAAGAGCAGGAAAGGTATCGACTCGAAGAAACTCACCGGCGTCAACATTTCAGAGGTAACATCGCGCAGGTCCGTAATGACCGAATTAATGAATGAACAATAATTAGTATTTTATGCCTATTTTAACTTTGGTGAAGTAATGCCAAGTAATTTGATCATTGCGATACACACGATTAATATTACACAATGATTTTACATTAGCTCAAGGCAAATTTTATCATTGTTTGTTTTTATTATTTGAAGTTTTACTTAATCAGGTCCTGTCCAAAGGTCCACTTTTGGCCCCGCCCAAACAACGAAGTGAGACTGTTTTTATCCTACAGAAATACGTGTAGTAGCATCTCCCCTCTCTTATTCCTCCATGTCAACAATACTTTAAACGTCAGTTGTCAACTAATCGTTAGACAACTAACGTTGAAAGCTTTGTCTATTTGTCAACCATGACCAACGGTAATTCGCTAGAAATCGGCTTTAGTTCAAATTAAATAAACAAAAATATAATTATTTTTATTATTATATTTAAATTTTTGACCAATAAATATTGATATGTAATATAAAATAGTTGGATATTGTTAAAAACGAGATTTGATTTGTTAGTATATGACATAAATTAGGATTGATTGATGAGTTCGATTGTTTTTGGTCACTTCCTGTTTCACCGGAAATGACCAAAAAAAAAACTTTTGACTTTTAAACGACACCCTCAGTATTTTTTTACTTCATTCGATAGAAAATGACACTCTGAATAGAATGACACTCTGAATAGAATGACACACCATTTGTCAACTTTTGATATTTTCGCATATGGTTTTTTGGAGAATGTGACGTGGTCGTATTGAAATGAGGCGCGTGTTCTAACAACTTTTATTTAACATTAATATAAATTGGACTGAAATACTTCCATACTTATGTGGAGAGCTTTAGACTCTCTGTATATTAAAAAAATTAGTGAAATATTGTGTAATTTAACCCGATATTTGTGTGAAAAATGTCTATTTGGAAATAAAACAGGTTTTAAAATACGCGCCAAATAAAGCACTTCTATCTCCGCCATATTGGAAAATGTTGAATGACCTTGTGTGGAGGCGGTGGTGGGTCAGCATGGTAGCCCGGCCGCGGCCGTGAAAGCCGCTTTTCAACATGCCAGGTGTGACGTATTAAAAATAAAGTGCGGATTTTTATTCTGGGCTTTTTTGTTTTTATTTATTTTCTTAAGAACGACTTCAAATTTTTCGAAAGTGAGATAGCGGAAAATTCTACAATTAATTGTTTTATTCAATTATGCTAATTCCAAAATATAGTGAATGAGCCCATTGAATACGTCAATCAATCCTAATTTATGTCATATATTAACATACCAAATCTGTTTTTTTTATCTAAAAAAAAAATAAAAAAGTTATAGGGGATTTTTTTGAGCCACTTTTGAGACGCACCCGGTATACCAAGATTTTTTACTAAGTTTGATATTTTAATTAACTTAAAAAAAATACATAATTTAAAATAGATCATCAACAAGGAGGGGAATTCCGTACTATTTGACATTCACTCAACGCCAATGACTAAAGAATCCAACGACATGTAACGCCCATATACGGGCTGCAGCAGAATTTGTTGCTTTAGACGCCATCATTTTGGAGCCTACGGATGAGTCACCACCTCGTCAACAGCGACAATTATAGCGATTTTTAATAATTTGTTGTGTATAGTGAACTTTGTATAAACTTTATTACAATGGTGATGTGTTCAGCTTTCAAGTGTAAAAGCCGCAATGATAAGAAAGAGCCAGGAGTTGCGTTTCATAAGTAAATAAACAGTCCACTCCACCTTTTAAGCGTTTTCTTATTGAATTTGGTAATTATTTTCCTAACACCATATGTACTTGATGTGTGCTAATCGTCGATACTAGCTTTGTACCTTTTGTTAACATTTTAATACGTATTTTTCGTAATTAATTAGTATGATACCACCGCCTACACCATAGGCGTAGTCAAACATTTATCAAAAATATAAATATCTCTTCAACCAGCTAAGTTATAAAAAATATATGGCCACGGCACTGTTTGGAGCCATGGTAACAATTTGGTCTCGGGTGTTATATGTCCGTGTATTCTTTAGTAATTGCTCAACGCACTAAGAGTAAGGTTAGAGTAACTATTAGACAGAACTTACCGAGCAGGTACCGTTCCAGTGCCACGTACTCGTTGGGAAACACGCCCTTGGTAGGCGGGTACTGGAAGGAGCAAATCCACTCGCCCTGGACCCGAAGTACCCGGCCCGTCACCCTCGCGTAGTACTCGTAGTTGTCTTTGCCGAACAGGTTGGACGAGGCGAATTCTTCTATCAGATGCTTCATGACGCGCGAAGCGACCTAGGTAAATCGATTGAAAAAATCATGTTTGTTTGCAAAATATAAAGAAAAGTAATTCATTTTCTACGTCAATTCTTTTCCAAGAAGGAAGTTATCGAAAAAGGGTTTCTACGATTATTGCAGGATGTTGCATCGTCACAACGACATATTAATATGAAAATTAAAAATATTTATTTACAGCCTCATAAGAGTCATAATTGATGTTGATATCACTGAGTTTTTAAATTTTTGAGAGTGTCACATTATTTACTTTTAAAAAATGTCTATACCTCTGTGGCGGATTTATCTCTTGAAAAAAGTCCTACGGGTATAATCCCCGCTGTAAGAAAATCTAAAAAAACTAAAATAGTTATTTTTTGTAAACTCTGCTGCGTTAATCCAACGGAGACTAATTGTCAGCAGTGGTTTAATAATAAACAAATTTGCCTAACGGACAAAAAAATGCTTAACGTTTCGGGAACTATGTCTCTTCCCGTCGTCGGAAGCAAAAAAAAACAAAAAACAACGAGCTGCTGACAATTAGTCTCCGTTGTATTAACGCAGCAGTGTTTACAAAAAATAACTATTTTATTTTGTAGATTTTCTTACAGTGGCGAAATACCCATAGGACTTTTTTGAAGAGATTATTTACTTTTACTTATCTCTTCTATTTCCCACAATACTGTCTTGTTTTTGTTCTTTCTGAAGCTTTTTAAATTCTGAAGACTAACAATATTAAAATAATCTTCGTTATCGACATTCTCTCACAATATTTAGGGTTTTTTTGTCACACAAATTCGATTTATTTGACACATTTGAATTTGATTTGACATTTTTGGATTTGTATGTCCTTAAGGAGCATATTTTATGTTTTATTTATTATTTATTCTACAACTGGCAGTTAAAGTTTGAAAATATGGTTGGTTTAAATTGTGAATCGTGACAATTTGGGGAAGGTTTTTTTTTATATAGTCAATTGTGTGTTGTAATCAGTATAAATTGTGTGTATATAGTGAGAAAATAAATCCGTTAAGTATTTTATCGTGAGTTTAAATTAGAGGACCCCCGAAATCCGTAACAAAATAATACACATACGTGTAGTAAATTGTTCATTTATGAAATTCATAATTGTATCTTTTCTTGCATTTTCGCTTTTATTTACTACATGAAAATGGAATAATTTTCATATTATATTTATCTCCAATGATTTGTGAAGATGCAACATCACATAAACATCAAAAATACGGTATATTTGTGAAGCAACACACATAAACCTAATAACTTACGTTAACTTCAGCCTGTCGACCAAAAAGTAAGCATTGTACAGCAAAAGCAAAAAAGATGTTTAATAGAGGTATAGTTAAAGTATTTATGCTTTAAGTAAACACATTTTAACATACTAACAAGTAAATATTTTAATGCGTATATAGGTGTACCAAAATTAAGTCCTCAATTAAAAACATTATATAAGTAAAAAAATTTGCAATGTCCCAAGTTCGGGACCGAATCTAGAAAACGACAAGAAAAAGAAATAAGTTAAATTATCTTAAGTACCAATAAAAACATATGTACAACTATGAGTACAACCGCTGATTAAAAAAATCGGGAAGATACGCAACCTAATTGGCAAATTCGTGTCAAGGCTGATTTGACTTCCCCTTACGTCTCAAGTGCTGTACGGTGGAGCCACTACTCGTTCTGCGACCAACGCATAAAACACTCATTTTCTCTAATTCGGCCAGCAAAGGCATATCGAAGATGTTGTGGATCCGAAAGCGACAGTGCTGCCATATTGAAATGTGTTATATCTGTAATACGTTTGACGAAAATATCTTTGGATGAAAAATCCGCGTTTATGTATTGAAAATTTATTCATGTTAAACATAGAATAAACAAAAATAAAAATTCTTTTATAGGTACTGAATATGTCGTATGATCGAAAAAAGTCGTTTGGTTGGCTTGGAAATGACGATTACTTACATTTATCATAATATTTTACATATGAAATAACAGCGATCTTTATTTCCAAGCCAACTGTGACGCAGTTCTTTGGTTACTCATATAATATTATATTAAATTGTTTAATGATATAAAATCCTTATTATTAACGTACTGTCATCAAAATCCGTAAATCTACGGATTAATCCGTAGTTCTGGCAACACTGTCTCCGGTAACCGCCCACTCTGTCGACTGAAAGCAGAACTACGGTTCAGTATTATTTATCCGCTGCGCTGTAAACGGCTATCAGCGCGCAGAGCTAAACTAAATCTCGGACATCCTGACGATAACGCCAGCTACATCTCGGACATTTTGTGCCACGAAAGGTTGCGCAACTTTTTATATCTTCAATCAATGGTATGTATAACATAGTAAAAAATAATCAATGATAATCCTTAAATCTAGGACACATTGTATACATCAGAATTTTATAATAAAAACTTGTTGCGGTAAAAAAAAAGAAAAGTTTTTTTAAATATGGTTAATTAATTTTTATCGATATATTATTTGTAACCATATTAAGTTAATAAATATGGTTACAAATAATATATCCATAAAAATTAGAGTAAAAAATAGATTTTATTGGAAACAAACTTTCTCTATAAGCCTTAACCTAATTAATTCATATTGGACTATAATTTTATATTTTATATTCAATAATTCTCAGACATAATAATATATTACAAACGACTTTTAAGATTTCTACTCTAGCAATTAGTTTAATAATTTGTATTATACTGTGGCAATAAAACGCAATAACTCTTGAACAACAACCTGTTCCTATTAGATAGTCGCGTTCGTAAAATGAATTTTACAAATTCTGATGCATTCAAAACGTATACGCGCATATTAAAGTCGCTGGAAAGAGAATAACAATGAAATGCTGTTTCCGGTACATATATAGAGAGACAAAACGGCAGTATTCAATAGCGCGTATCTGCACAATACAATATACCGTAACAAACATGCAAGTACATAGACCTACTTTTTTAACATTGTCCGTTATAAAGTATTGTTCTTTTCGTTTCAAGTTTTGTATTTTGTGAATATCACAAAACGTAAAAACATGCTGTAAATGAACAAGTAAAAAAATGGGGGATGTGACTGCTTTATGGAAAATAAATGGGTTCATAGATAAAGGAAATAAATTTAGATTGGAATACCTGTCAAAATTTTGGGTCGCGACCGTTGTACGCGATCTGGCGCTGCTATAGCGGTTGCTAAGAACAACAGCAAACAAAAACAGAAATAATTTTCACTTGTCCATATCTCTTGTCAAAGTCAGAATCTTCCAAAATTATAAAATCTTTCAAAATCTAAACCGCTCTCATTGAAAAAATTCCGAAAAGTGTTTAAAGTGTCCATTTTCAAAGTAATTATTGCAATCTTGTGAGTTTAAGTTTTATTACCCTATAATGATATAGTCAAACCCGTGATAATTGTGAAAGAGTGGCATTAAAAACTTAAAAAGCTGTGCTGTGAACTGTGAACTGCAAAAACCATCGTGGATCGTAGTATAACGTCGGTTTCCAATGTTTCATAGGTATTTCATACATGCCCTTATATAAAATAAAATTTCTTGTATGCAACACACTGTATTTTATTTATAAAATTAAAAGAAAATAATAATAAATTTGAATAAATAATATTTGGCGATATAATTCCGGAAAAAAAACCCGAACCGATCCGAAATTTTCAAAAGCTTTGGGTCGCGACCGTTGCAAGAATAGCGCCAAATAGTGTTTACATTATCCTTATGGGCACTTTCCAATCTAAACTTGTTTCATTTATCTATGAATGGGTTCTTGACAGGACATTTTCAATCTGACATGTACAGGGTGGGTCAAATTCCACGCTTTTAAAGAGAAACACCCTTTTCTATTGGAGATAGACGAAAACTGATATCGGTGTCTGGAGCTCAATTTTTATCAAAAACATGATGGTGAAAACCGCACATCGACATCTGTTAACGTTTAGGAGTTACGGGGTGTTTTTTAAAAATGAGTATTTTTAACAAATCGCTGTAACTTTTTTCCTATGGAAATTTTTCTATTTTTATGAAAGCATTTCCAAAGCACCTTTTTACGTAGAATTTAATGGCTTAAGTATAATTTTTTTAAAATTAATAATTTAAGAGTTATCAGCAGAAAAAATGATTTTTTATTTGGGACGCCCTGTATATTTTTAATTAAATGAAAATAACTTAAAATTACCTTTCCAAAAATATAGCACACTTGATATTTTGTTATAATCCCCTTCGAAATACAGAATTTTTAAAAGTTCGCCACTTTTAACTAGTAGATTTCGGACACCTTATTGATGATCTGCCCCTAATGGAACTCGAAAACATATTTTTCCAACAAGACGAAGCACCGCTTCAGAACGCTGAAGTTATCAGCTAACTTTTACAGCCAATGTCGTGAATAATTGATTAGTTAACCAAGATCCGAGCCGTTGGCAGTCGAGGCCGCCGGACTTAGTGCCTATGGATTTTTATCTTTGTGAAAGAATAAATTTGCTTATTTTTAAATTGCCTGTTTAATCTACACAAGAAGTAGAAGTACTTACTCGGTTATGCGAGGGTATCTTTCACCCCCACCGAGTTAATGAATTCCGCGAGAAATGTTCAAAAACGGTCTCGTCTGTCCATAACAGAAGACGGTCGACGTGTCGAGCACCTGTAGCAAAATCTCATGTCTTGGTTTGCTATTAATTTTTATTGTTATTAGATATAGTTTAAATCTGTTGATGTTGCTAAATATAGTTTAAATTGTTATAAAATTCTAAATTTCTCATTGCAAATATTACTTTCGTTTTAACTGCCTCTCACAGCTACATTTTTTTCCATTACAGCCCGCGCGGTTCAAAGCCTACTTATTCAAAGTGGGTGAATTTTTAAAAACTCTATATCTCGAAGAGGAATCGAGCATAATATATTGTTACGAATTCCGTGGGTCCACTATTTAAACTCACGATAAAATACTTAACGAATTTATTTGTTTCACTCTGTACACACAACTTA